ATTCCTGTCGGTGTAACATGAATTTCATTAATCCGAGATTAACCAATCACAGTTAATAAATGTCACATTAATCACCGTTGGTGTAACCAGTCCTAGGAGGTCGCGACGCCGAGGAACGATCGAATCGATTCCACTTTGTTCGATTTTCCACGATTTTCCCCGATTTTGCTCGACCTCGCTTGATCGGAAGTACTCAAAGCGAACGACACTTCGCACTTTACTCTCTTGCGAGTCCCTACACTCGCATGCACCTAAGTGTGTACCTGGGTGTGGGTGTGTATGGGTGTGTCCGTGTGTGTGTCTGGGCATGTTCGAACTTATGTACGTGCGCGTACGTCGCGGTGTATAACGTATGCGTGTCCGCATGTACTCGTTGCGCCGACCTCGCCGGCCCTGGTTTTCGCGTCGAGGTGCGCGCGCGCGCTTTCTCCGCCCATCTCGATTCGTCTTCTGGCGGAAATGATTATCGGCTCCTATAGGAGAGAGACGAGGCGATTGTTGCGCCTGAAAATTAGCGATGCGATATGTGAAAAGAGAAAAACCTGGCCCACAATTTTACTCCGTCTTTCCTCTCAAGTCGCGGACTGAATGTGGCAGAGCCTGCTTGAAATGATCTCGAGTGAAATTTAGAATATCAAGAATGCAGAAAAATAATGGATCTGCCATTTGATCTTTATCTGTCTTTAGCGAGAAACGAGTGTCTCGTAGATATCCACCGTACTGTACTGTTTTTAACGGCGATATTTTTAATAAACAAAGAGCCAACATTTTCCTACACCTCGTCGCGTCGAGTCTCCACGATTACGTCTCGCTCTTCAACGTCCATTTTCATTGGGCAATCCGCCTTCGTCGTTAACGCAATCAGTCCTCAGAAAATATTACATAACTAATCGAAGACCCACTTGACGTAACCCGTCGAAAGATTACGCATTCGACTCGCTGATCGCGAGGGAAAAGAATTTCCTTTGCATTTTGCATCAATCATTTCACTGAGGCATACATGTGGTACATGAGACCAGATCCCATGCATCGCAGGAGCATAGTTAATAAATATCGAGAGCCGATTGAATCATTTCCCCCGCACTCCGTCTCGCCCCTTACAATTCCACGCCTTATTGATATCATTCGGCACCCTCCATTTTATCATTCCCTATTTATCCCCGAGGAGCCCTCTAACCGACCCCAATTTCCGCCTTTAATCGTTCAGTAGACCTCTCGGATGCTTATTTATTAGAAAAATAGGGCAGTGTCGTTCGAGGAGGAAGAAATAGAAGAAAATGGATGGCAGAGGGGCTCCGGCTAGAGGGTTCCCTTTCAAAGGATCGCTCTCTCTCTTCTTCTTTTTGCTCGAGTCCAGGGCGAATATAAGCGTTTTATAAATTTTCCCGGACGCTCGGGGATATTCCCCGGTGCTTTGAAATATCTATAAGCGTGCTCGGGGCGAAACCGTAAAGATTCCTAATTAATTAGTCCAATTAACGAGCGCTCGCAGAGGGCCCTTAGCGCGCGCGCGCGCGCTCCTCGACATGTCGTATACGATAAATCGCGCGAACGCCCCTACGAGTGCTACGCGACGTCCGCTCGAGTCTTTAGATAATGTACGTAATAACCTTCCGTGTATAAAATTGCGGCAGTGTGCTTCCTTCGTCGTAGGTTGTGTACAAACGATAAATAAATACTCCCTGACATAGTTTATGTTCTATGATTAACGCGCGTTAGGGTTGCTCGGTGGCGCGCGGCGTACGGGAGGCCCGACGCCTCATTTCCTTCGCCGGGAAGAAACGACTCGTGGAATCGCAACGAATCGTCCGAGAAACGAAATAACGACGTCCCGACGATAACGGCCGACTTCTACCCCGGTCAACCAATTCCGCCGCACGGAAGGGGCCACGATTTCGCGATAAAGCCGCTCGTCGACGGTAATTTCGACTTCCGAGTGCCCCCCTTGCTCATTTCTTCGGAGGAAATTTCCTCTGTTTTTCACCGAAAAGTCGCAAACCTTAGCATAGGACGAAGCTTAGATTGGAAGTCTGGTAATAATTCGGATCTCTAAGGGCCTCCTTACGTGGCCGAGTCACGAAGATCCACGGTCGTGCTTCCCTCTCTCTTTCATCCCTTTCTAGTGGAAGAATTGAAAGAACCGTCAGAGGAACTTGGATATATAAATATAGCACAGAAAATATTTAATAAGAATTAAAGCTGCGTACGAATAAGTGTAGAAAAAGAAATCAGGATTTTATCCCCATTCGATAAGATGAATGAGACGTTTAATGGATTTGCTTGTTTCTCGGGGAATGTAATGGAATTATAGAAAATTCTGATTTGGATGGTTTGGAATCGGAATCCACGGATAGTTACGGCCATGAAGCGATCGATTGGAGGATTCGTTCGGGATAAAAAGCAGTTTAAGTGACAGCTCTTCAGGATCCGACCCTTCTCGGTCCTCCCGTACTCCAAAACGCGCCGACTCGTCCTACGAGATCAGTCCGCCGCGGCTTTAAGAGTTAACTTTAGACGTGTAATAATACTGGCTATTTTACCGGTTAAAAGTCAGCGTTCTCCTAACGCGTGATTATTATCGTTTCGATGAGAGTTTTTCGCGGTTCCAGCTATTGTCACAATTCGGTCGATTGTGGCTTTTCGTAGTCTTCGGTCGAGACGCCGCTCTTCGTCCCGCCGCCGCCGTAGACGGTTCTGCGCTTACATAATAAGTAAATAAAGTTGAATAGACAATGAGTAACAAAACGCAGACACGGGCTGCCATAAATCCGCCGTAATCGAGCGCTCTCGAAGTATCCTTTGTGCTTAGGGGTGCGCGACCCGAAGGGACGTGCCACATCCACGAGAATCGTAGTTCCAAGGGGCGCGGGGGTGCCGCCGTATTTTCGAAAAGGAGTCGAGGATGTAGATATGATTCGAGTAAAAAGCAAGACCGAGATGGCTCTAACGATGGACACGGTCGTTGCGTCTCGCGGCAAAACGTTGCGCACCGTGGAAATGAAACGCATTGCGTCTACGAGATACAGAAATGGCGCCGCAGCCTCCTCTCCGGGTCCATCGCGGAAAAGCAAAACGGAGAGAGGAGGCAGCAACACGTGTAGTACTTCTACGATCCTTAGTACTACCTGACACCCTTTAACGCGATAACGATTGCAAAGACGATGATCAAGGTAGCGATGATATAGGCGGCGACGCGGTGATAACATACAGCGATAACGCGCCCCGCTAATCCGGCGATTAATATACAAAGGACACCGGTGATCGACGGACCACCGACGCGATAAGAGTAATTAGTTACACTCTCCTTAGTAAACCCTATATGTGCCTCTTCCAGAATAAATACCTCTTTTCTCATTTAACTCCTTAATCCTGAGCGCTTAGTGAATGACCTACGTCGATATGTCTCGAATGAAATGTGTTGGGATGAGTAGCTCCGACGGAGTAGCACCGACGACGTGACCTCCCTCTCGTTAATCGTAATCTACGCGGAAAATACTCGTCAACTACCGATATTGGTCCAATTCCAATGTCCCCACGGCACCCCGGAGACCCCCAGGGGGTGCGCGCCCCTTCGCCGTCGTCGCGCCTCTCGTGGACTATCGTAGGGCCGAGGGCGGCGTCGAAGCGAAAAGCGAGATCTCTTTGTAGTTACGCATTGTACGTACGTGCCAGTACGCGACGCGCCCGTCGATACCTCGGAGATCGGAAATGCAAACGACTCGTGGAGTCCGCGTTATTGGCACATCGGCGTCGTGCCTGCATAATCGCAAAAAAACGACCATTCAATGGACGTACGCGCGGAAGAATCCGCGCTCCCTCGGATCGCGGGCGAAGGTCTTTTCAATTTCACGCATTATTAAATTACTAGGCTCTTGACGTCCTCCTCGGGGCCCACCTTTATCGAGATGGGACCCCAAGACGCTGCGAATCGATTTACCGAACTCTCAAGAAATTCCCTGGACCGTCCTTTACAACGAGTAGGAGGATCTCTGGTTCGAGACGTACTTGGCGCGAAACTTCTCCGAGTTTCCGAACACCGACGACGCAGACGTCGAGACAAAACTCGCTATCGGTAGCGTTAAAACACCCCTCGAGTGAGACGCCGAACTCGCGGCGGGCGACGGATCGCTAACCGGGTGAGAATTATCCTAAATCGGGGTCGGCGGTATCGACGAGCCGTCGCGCAGCGAACGTCCGTATCTCCGCATACCCTAGGGCTAGATAACACACTGTCGAGTAATAGTATTTATCAAAAGCACATGTATATCGTGACTAATCTACGTATTCGTATAGTACGTCGTGTACGTATATAAACCGACCATTATGCATGCCATACCGGTTTCGCATTTATTGTATCCGTCCGTGCCCTAAGGGCGCGCGCCAGGCTTCGACGTATCGGCTCTGGAAGCCTCGAACCCGATATACCCGGGACTCGTCGCAAGCCCTGTCGAGCCCTGGCCCCTCGCGGGGGGTCCCGCCGGCCTGGCTCTCCGCGACGGGCAATTCCAGCGATTGCGCGGCCGGCGCGCCTTTATCGACGAGCCGTGCCTATCTATCCCTACGTATGTACACACGTACCTAGCCCTCCGAGGGTTCGAGTCGAGCACCTATTAGGTACGCGTCCGTGGCGTCTCTCGGTTAGACTTTTTTGTGCGTGCGTCCGGAGCCTGGGGCGCCGCCCCGCTCGCGCCCGCTGATCGAAGTGTCTTCGGGGGGGGGCCGCCTAGGAGGACCAGAGGTTAACGAGTCGGTGGAGGAGGAAACGCGGGAAAGTCGGAGCTCGATCGGGGACTCGCTCGTCTCCGGATGCAGGGGGGAGACACGGAATTCGGTTAGCGATCGGGGGTCGCGGGGGATTCGAGGCGCCCCTCGCCGCCTCCCAGGGTGTCCCCCGAGGGATGGACCTCGGGGGAGCGGGTCTTGAAGGGGGCCGGGGGTGTCTCTGGGTCCCGCAGGGTGTGTCGCGGGGTAAGCGGGTCGGCAGTCGGAAGCTGCGGAGTTTACTTCGACTTGGCGACGTCGTCGTCGCTAGCCTCGGCGTCTCCCTCGACGCCGCGTTCGCCCTCCTCGGGGTGTGCGGGGTTCCCCTCCTCGGTGTCGACGCTGCTCGTCGGGGTCACTTGCTCGGTACCCCCGCCCCCGGAGAAGGCCAGCCCGTCCAGCGCTCCCGCCTTTTCGTTAGTGACCGGCTCCGGAGAGGTCGACTCCTCGCTGCTAGGCGAACCGGGAGACGAGACTATCACCTGAAAAAATTAGGCGTCGAGTGGAATTAAGGCACTATTTACAGAATTAGAAGGTCTTCTTTCAAATTGAAACGTGGTCACGGAATGTACGGGGTGAGCCAGATATCGCATTCCATATTAATTAAGGAATTATCATTTATATTATTGAAGCGGAACTTCTTATTTACGGTGGTGTAAGTTAAAGTGTTAAAAAACGTGGGTGTAACGAAAAGTGAAACGTTTATTTTATACTCTTCAATTGAAACTTCTTTACCCACAGTAGCGCGAGTTCGCTGCTTGGAGATTGGAATGAAACGAAAAAGCGAAATGCAGGGTCCGTACAGCGTTTCATTCGACTATACGGACACTGGAATGAAACGTTAGTGTCTGTACAGCGGAAACATTCTGGTGAAAGGCATGGCCATATCGAAAAGGTTAATATGAAAGAAAAATAAAAAACGAAGTTTCCACTTCAACGTCCGTAGAGGCCCTTTTTGTCCTTGTTTATTTTCAATCTATTTACCTGTGTCCCTCTGGTTTGCGATATTTGATTTATCTATCTTATATTGTATGCCAATTTACGTACCTGTCGTGGCTTGACCGGTGGAGGCGGAGGCAGAGGACGAGTGGAAGCCACGGAGGCTGCGGTTGTTGTACTGGGGGGAGGATGACGAAGCGAGGGTGGCTGCTGCCAGGGCAGCCCTGTTCGAGGTAAGGCTGCTTGATCCACCGGAGCCTGCTGACTGTTGTTGTGCCCTGCAGGTGGCGTAACTCGAGGAAGTGCCGAACCGCCCGAAGAAATCTTCCGAACTGTCTGTGAAACGAGCTCCTGATTACTCGGCACTCGAAAAACAGGAGCAGAGAGGATCCCTTTACCCTTTCGGACTCGCATCCTCTCTGACGGGGAAGAACGATAATACACAGAGCCATAGCCGTACCCGGACGATGCGCAAATCAGGACATAGAGCGCCTTTCGATTTCTGCGGTAGGCATTTCAAGCCGGGGGCCCTTCGACCCACGAAGCTATCCAAGGATAGCCTTGGATACGGCTATACACAGAGCTTGCGCAAACGTAAAAGACAACAGCTGCGTGAAAATTCGAGAGTATTAAAGGTTAGTCGTAAGGATGGCGATCGTCCAACACGAGGCTTCGACTCGAACTGCCGTGGCCCGACATTGTCGTCGATAACGAGCCTCCGTCCATTTTCTTTAGTAGCCACGGGTATAAGGATGTTAAATGATAATAACGAGAACATCAATAACGACACACAACAACGGAGGCACAAGCGGCGAGAGGAGAGAGCCATGCGGCCGATATAGTTGGCCGTTGAAAATGATCACGTTACCTGACTTGACCGGCCAGATCTCCAGCAGATATTTCAGGACGGCGATGGGTTGCTGGAAATCCAGCGGTGGCCCGTTGTCCTCGGAGTGCAGCATCAGAACCGGCCCGAAACAGACCGCCAGGCTCGCCGGTGACATCTTGTTGCATTGCGACACTACCATCGCCAAGTGGTCCAGGAGATAGATCAACGTAGCCTGCGAGATAACCAATAATTTCAAGATATATCTTTGCTTTAGGAAATCATTATTCCAGATAAATAACGACAAGCTCGTGTGCTTACCCTGGTGACCTTTGGGAGACAGTCGAGGATGCTGAACATCAGTTTAGCGTTCCCTTGTGGGTCATCCGGCAAGCACACCGCGAGCGCGTCCACCATCATCTGATACAGGCACTTGGTAAAGAGAGGTACAGGCAACTCCCTCAGGTAGTCCTTAAGCACCCCTACGAGGAGAAACGAAGAATGAGATGATTCAAGGATCTCGGAATCCACGGATAACGGAAACTTCTATCCTGAGAAAAGAAATGCATTTCTTTCAAGGAAATCATTTCTTTGAATACATCGAATTAAATATTTCACGAAATTATTTGTTGCAATTAAGCACGTTTCAGTTTTAAAGAAATTCGTAAAATACTATCATTTCTTTTAAGGGGAAACGAATATTTCTTCGGGATAATTACATGTCCTTTCTACCAAAACACTGTTAATTGATCCAAATGACCATTATTTATAGAAATCGTTTTGTTCGAATCGAAGAAATTTTTTTTCCTCAATGTATGGGTTCTGTTAATTGTACCAGTGATAACGTTGATGTCGGGCACATTATCCGGCGAGAGGTCCACCGATCTGGCGTTACGTTCGAATGCCTCTCGCAGTATCCTCTTCTTGGTGGCGGAGCCGCACAGTCTGTACAAGCCTGCGAATCATCAAAGAGACATGAAGTAAGGAGACCAAACGATGCGAAATCGCCTCTTTATGTTATATCACAAGTCCAAAAACGGCAAGCTTACCAATTATATCGAGTCCTCTTCTCTCTACCTCCTCGATGCAACGCCAAACGATGATAGGAACATTGGGGATCCCTCCTACAGCCACGGCCGTTGACACTCCTCCAGGAACGCCGCCGGTCTTGCTTTCTCGGCTGACCTGAAGTACACGAATGCAGCGAGATGTATCAAAAGATTCCGAGACTTGGAGTGGAAGTTGCTCTTGATCCTAAGAAATTCATCCCGGGAACTCACCACGGTGTCCAGGTCGACGCCGAAAAGGGGCGCGACCCTCGTGGCAAGAGAAATCACTGGGAGTCCGCGACGCTTAAAGGTCTGGTGGGCGTCAGTGTACCTGAGCCTTAGGTAGATGGTACCTCTCGGCTCAACCTTGAGTGCCAGCTGGTGCAACGGTGATTCCTTCAAGAGGGTGGCCAGATGCACGGACCCCTTGTAGCACAGCTTGTGCCTGTGCTGGGGGTCCCAGGAATAGACCAAAAGGTCCAGCTGCCGGTTGCCCACGAGGTCGAGCTCGAAGGTCTCGTCCCAGTCGAACATGAGATCGCCGGTGCGGACGACGGTGCGCGCCTTGTGTACCCTGTCGCACTCGAGGACGCAGTAAAGGTCCCTCAAGCCGCAGCTGCCTGTTTGTCGGTGATGGATTGTAGTTTAGAGAAGGAAGGCCATGAAGATCGAACGACTCGTGGAAAACTCGGAGTATCTTCATCGACTCACCCAGACTGGGTTGACCCGACGGAGTGGACGGGGTGGTCGCCGCCGAGGACGAGGTCGTGGACCGCAGTCCACGTCCCGCCAACAGATGCACCCACAGCAGGCCACTGACTCCTCCGGCCAAGTCGCCACCCCCGGCACTGCCGTCTCCAAGAGCACTCAGAAGAGAGCTGGTTGAACTCGGAGTACCCACTACCGGTGGCTTCTCTATCTTATACTTGAGGAACTCTAAAAGAAGCAAGAGGAAATCGCGTCAGTCCCTACACAGACGAGTACCATTCTGCACCTCGAAACGTAGATCGTCCCTCTTACCCGCGGGATTAATATCTAGCAGTCTTTGATCCTGAGTTCTGGTAGGCGTAGGAGTGGGGATGTTCCTGGTGGACTCCAGGTCGAGCAGGTTACGGATCCTTCTCACGGAGGACGCGGCCCGTTGTCCAGCTGCGCTTCCCAGCGACGGTGGTTTCTGTCCAGCCAAGGAAGACCGCGTGACGTTCGACGCCACCGAAGCCGGCCTGGGATTCGCCGATGGTCTGTGACAGGACGAACTGATCGCCGTCGACGCCCTCAGGTTAGCCAGGTTGACTTGTTGCGCCGACGCGGACCTGGTCGAGAGTCGATCCAAGGTGCTGGAGAGCGGTCGATAGGAGCCGTACCCGCTGCCGTACTCCGCCTGCGGTTTCACATCGACGCTGGTATCATCTGTCTTTGATAACAGATTCACGCTCAGATTCTACGCTCATGTACCTGGTTGACCGCGGCGTGTATGTTCTCTGCGCTGTAGGTGTAACGAGGTGGTCGATTCGCGCTCGCCCTGATCTGCTCGTAAAGTGCGCTGGTGCTCGGTGTCCTGCTTAACCAGGCTCGGTACTCGTCGGAAGTGAACACGCTCGGGGAAGAAGGTATCCTGCCTGTTGATCATCAAGGATTATTATTATATCATACAAATTTATTCACGCGAATTGATTGTTTTCTTTTTAAATCACACGTTAAGCGCGGCGTCAGTCCCACGGGACTGACAGTATACTTTTTGTTTAGGCGGTGTCCGTTCCATGGGACCGACACAACATCAAGAATTCCATGCGAAAGAAATTGTACCGCTTGAATATAAAGTACAATAAAATGAACTCTGCATTTAACGTGTTACACTCGGGAAAAGGATTTAAGCGGTTCATTGCTCTTAAAGTGACGTCAAAGAGGTCTCGTTTATGAAACTTCTCTCCGAACTGGGTGTACCGAATCGTTTCAAACTTTACAATGGGCATATAGAGGCTAAACGAGAGGTCCTGGCATCCATGAAATTTTATTTCTTTTATACTTGTTTGTAGACAGTTTTACAATTTTTTAATAAAAAATGAAATTTCATGGATGTCAAGACCTCCCTTATGACCTCCATATTTACGTTGGAAAGTTTGAAACGATTTGGTTTACATAGTTCTTAGGAAAATTTCATGAACGATTGACTCCTCAGATGCCATTTTCACATCTCCTTAAATTATACAATATCCAGATCAGGAAGTTTTTACCTCTGTCGCGCCTAATCGAGGGCAACTCCGGAGCGGAAAGGGCTCCATCACTGTCTTCTTGGTCTATAAGGCCCGACGTTACCGTGCCGAGACCGGACCTGATGCCTGGTTGTTGGGGCAGTGTTCTACCACTACGTGGTAGCGAGTTCGACCTAAGTCCTGAAATCAAATCTTTCATGAACCGAGTCATTATCTCTCGACACAACAGAACGGAATCATACGTAGAGGTTCTTGTTGTGGTCAAAAACCTGGTCGAATCTTACCCGTAGAACTCTGGCCTATCTGTGACCTGGAGAGCGTGGCCAAGTGGGAGACCGCGCTGCTCTGCGAGGGGTTGCCTGCGTTCTGCCTGTAATAATAGTAGGCCGAACGAGGTGAGCTGGAGCAGGTTGCCTCGGTGTCCGAAGCATAGTCCAGAGAAGGCCTGTGCCTTCTCGTCAAGGTACCAAATTGTCCTTGTCTGTGCGCCGCCGAGGTGGCATCGCTTTGTGCCCCGTACCGCGAGTTGTACCGCAATGCAGTAGAACCTGTTGCAGTAAAATCGTACTTATTTGCAATCTTGATAAAATCACAAGTGAAAAACAGTCTCCTCTGATTACATTAATACATAGATATTCCGACAAATAAATTTAAGGTGATATAAAACAAACCTTAGAAGAACCTCGCCGATGAAACTGTTCCTCGAACTGGGTGTACCGAAACGTTTGAAATTTTACCACGTGAAGATAATGAAAATTAAAAACAACGAAATTAAAGATGTCAGGACATTCCCCAGGGCCTTCGTATTCACTCTGTCAAATTTCAAACAATTCTGAACACTCAGTTCGGAGAAAAGTGTCAAACGATTGACCCCTCAGATGCCACTTTTGTATCACCTTAAGAAACACGATAAGGTAGAAATGCAAGCCTAGTCAGAGATAACTTGAAGGAAAGATTTAAGGTGTGAAAAAAGAAATAGAACGCACGATAATCACCAGACTTCAGGCTAGATCTGAGCAGCGTATGGCGCGCGGGCGTCGTCACGCCAGCGTAGTCCACCCTAGGGAGATGCTGATCCGACCCACTGCGAGGCATGAGCCTTCCTTGAGCTCCGTGTTGGGCGTATCCGTAATGCGAACCCTGACCCTGCCCTGGAAGTCGGCCAGATTGTATCCCACCACCTGTCGACATTCGACGTCCAGGTCCTCCAGCACCACCCGTGCCATTCGATGGTACCACGGGCCCCGAGTAGAACGAGTGCACCTGAGAGCAGGGAGACGGAGACATCAGAAAAGAAATTTGTCAGTCAAGAGTTTCAAGTATTTCCGAGTACTCTCGTCGACGGGCTTGCTGGAACTGACTCCGCGACTTTAGGTAAGGATCTCCAAAGAGAACGCCAGCGTAAGATGCCAAGACAAACTACATGAAAAGAAGGATTTTAAGGAAGGTGGCCTTACCTTCTCGGCGAGGCTCTCCAAGGTCTTGGGATATCCACGCTCGTAAGGCTGGAAATGTTGCGTTGCCGAGGGCTTTGGTTGATGGGTAATGACCGGTGGCGGTGGCGGCTGGTAGGACCAGTGTCCTTCGGGCCTAGAGTTGTAATAGAGATCACCATTGCTGGATCCAAGGTCTTGACTAGATCCAAGGCCCGTGAGTCCCAACCTGGAGCGGGAGGGTAGCATCTCGCGTCCGTCTCCTCTTCTACGGCTGCCCTCTCTGAAATCGAAAGCCGAGACCATTTAGAGACGCGATTCGGAAGCAATTTACATTTCGACTCCTCCCGCACGGAAAAAAACAGCATCTGTACTTTTAGCAAAGACAACATTGCTGGTGAAGTTTCGCTGTTACTGCAAGAATTACCGCACCAACAGCAAAAATGTTTACAATTATATTGAATGTAAATGTAACCATTGGGGAGTTTTCTTTAGAATAAGTGCTTCCTAATTTAGAAACTGAATCAGGTGCAACAGCCAAAAAGATATTGTTGTCTCTACTCGAACGAATAGGCGATATACAATTTGCTGTCATTAGAAAAGAATATTGGAACCATGAATAGAATTTGTGTTGCCCCAGTGAAGTTATCGTCTTTTTTGTTGCTAATATAACAAAAATGTTCATGAACGAATATAGTTGCTGGTCCATTTTTCAAGTGTTCAGGTTTGTTGAAGTAAGTCAAATTTCTTCGGATGACTGCAAATTCCTTTTCTCTGGAGGGGGCTTTTCTCACGACCAACGCACCTAACGTGATTGCTGGTCGCATGGTCGCTTTCGTCCTCGTTGAGGTCTCGCTTGATGACAACCACCGGTGGCGCCTTGTGCTCGTTTTGCCGCGTATGCGAAATCGTCTGATGAGCCCCGTGTCTGGTAGCCAGCACCAATCTTCGGGGGATCGACATGATGATCACCACGTCGTCGAGACTCATGTGCGTCACGTCGACCAGGTTGACCGCTAGAATCTCGTCACCCACCTGCGAACGTAAGAGCTTTATACAGTACCGGACTCTGCATAAAACCAATAACGAAGGAAATCTCGATTTCTACTAATCGGTTTACCTTTAAACATCCGCTGTTGTAAACCGCCGACTCCAAAGCTATTCTCGATATGAAGACTCCGTCGTTTCTGTCTACGCCGTTACCCTCCCGAATGTACAGGCCCAGCGTCTGGCCCGGTCTCTTGATGATCTCCACCAGGTGAACGGGCTGCTTGGGGTCCTAAAAAACATATCGACGAGGTAAACGACCCGGATTTCCATGCAAATAAAATTTCGTCCGTACCTGCATGGCGATGAATTTTTTGGCGGCCTCCGAGGCCTGCCTACCCATTTGCCGAGGCTCGATGACGCGGACGACCATTTCGCCGCGACGTTCCACGGCCTCCAGGGCGGCCGCCGTCGAAGCATCATGGTCATTCTCGACGGTCTCGATCTGCTTGAAGATCTCTGTACTGATCCCGCTCACCTGAAAGGTAAAAGCTCTCTGATAAATCACCCCATAACCGTTCGTCACCCCGTAAACGTTGTACAATTCCGATTGATCTACCCCAAAACATCTCGAGAACGAATATCCCATAACTGTTCAGCTACTTTCACGATTATAAAATACAGGTAAGCTACCCTACGTCCGAATAGTAGAGACCTCGTAAAAATGAAACCGCGATAAAATTCACAGAAAACGACCTTTTCCAGTTCTCCAGGGGGGACCCGGAAGCGAGCATTTCCCACGGCTCCTACCTTCCTGAAGTCTCCCTGGACGACCATGGGGGGTGGCTCCTTGGGGCGCAACTGGTTGGCGGGCGCCTGCCGGCCAGGACTCGCGCCGATGTCCGTCACATCCCCCCGCCCCTCCTGCAACGTGACAAGAAGCCGTCATAGGAGCGACGGATAGCGGAAAAGGAACCGGTCAGGATTACCTTGCGGGAGAAGAAACATCCCGTCCCGGCCCTATCGCACATCCTCCCCTGGCCCGTGCCGGCCCGCGGCGCGGAGGCGCGAGTCTATCGACCCACCGGCGGGGTGCGCGCCGCCTCACCTCGCCTAGCCTCGCCGCGTATACCCTCGCGTATGCCTCCGCGTAGCCTCGCTCGATGCCGCCACGCGACGCCGGTGTCGACCGCGCGCGGCAGCGGGCGCGCCACTGTCGGCTACGACCGCCGGCGTGCCCGGTAGTAGCGTACGCACGCACGAGGTGGCGCATGCGTGATGACACCCCCTCGCGCTGGCGGCCATGACTCGGCCGCAGTCGCGCGCGCCAAGGGCCGCGGAGGGCATTCGAGGGGTGCGCTCCGCAGCCAAGGACATTCGCGAGGTCGCACGCGACGAAGGCCGCGCCACTCCTGAGGGTGGATTCCCGATCCCTACTCTGGGCTTATCGGATCTTCGTCCTGGTTTAAGCTCACTCACCCAGCGCGACAGGACCCTGTTTCATTCGTCCGACAACGGATGTACTTACTACTAAAATTTCGTCGTATACGTGAAATGTACCCTGTAAATTTCGGCATAGTTGAACTTCTGCGCGACAGAAATTGTCACAGAAGTATATCACCGCGCTGATTTTCAGCAACCAGTCAGAATCATTTATTTCTCCGTCGTACGATGTTGTCGGAAGGATGATATAGAGCCTACAAGATGCCAATTTATTGGCGTCGGAAATTTAGATGTTCGTTTGAAGAGATAAGCGTCAGAGTTGTATCGACGCTGCAATCCGTTTTCATAAATATCTGATGCACGATCGTCTACCAAGTCATGTGATTAGAAGATACTCAATTTCAACGACAAGCTGGCGATAATGAAAAAACACCTTATTGTCCATGCAATGGCATGGTTGTATTATGTGTTCATAAGTAAAATTCTTGTTTTGTTTATAAAAATACGCTTTTGCTTGTGGACATGATATTGCTGCGCCATTGCGTTAATTCGCGTTCGAAAATGTTCTATGTGAACGGCCTTTAAGTTTTTCTTTCTGCTTTCTCTTTATCTCCAGGGAGTTGTCAAACGCACGTTAATTCATGCTATGGCACAACTATGTTGCGATTCGTTCTGATGACATGCAAATACACGTTTTTATAAGTAAAGTGCACAATCAAAAACGCGTCATATGAAGTCATATGAAGATCTCTAGGTTTCAGCCCACTCTTAAAACGAAAACGTCCAAGAAGGGAATCGCGAGACTTGCAAACTCCAGGTCTAGATGATGGCGATTTTGGAATAAATGGGGAAATAAATGTCTCGAAAGGGATGAACTCGCGATTGAGAGTTCGGAGCTTGGAATCTTTCCCTTGAAGCAGTATTGGAGGATGGAATTGGGCACATAGTTCGTGGAGGGTTGAAGAGGGAAGTTCGAAACTCGATAATCGTTCCTTTGGCGAGCATGCCTCGCCGATTGCGCTCTTTCACTGCTGGAATCCTCCGGCATTCGTAACCCTTCTACCTTTTAGAACGTTCCTGGCGACTCGAAAAATGAAATTGAATAGACGTTCCGTGACATTTTCGACTTTGCGATTTCAAAAAAAAAAAGAAAAAGTAAAGAAAGGCCAGATTAAATTTTACCGCTCTTCCTTTGCGGGAGACACCGTGACAGTCGTCGGAATTAAATATTTCTCTAGCGTGTACTTTCTCCTTGGAAAAATTCCAAGAAGAAAGTACAGGCAGAGATCGAGCAAGTCCGTTTTATTCCCCCTAAGTCGAAGCGTTCGGTGCACTCGACATAAATAAAACTGTAATCCGGGACCGAATCGTGACGTAGTAATCCGAGCGGAGGAACGAGAGATATTCTTCTCCGCGAATAACCTTATCCTTTCCATCCGGAGATTCTGGTCCACGACTAAAACCGGCGCGCATCGATTTCCATTACGCCCTATAAATATAAAACGTTACTTATGTGTTCCGATTACGCGACCCGTTGCATCTCCCGTACTCGGTATTCCGGAAACAGTAGACGTCTCTTAACCGACATCTGGTCCCCTTCGGGTAAAACCGGGGAAAAAAGAAACCCGAAGGCTGACATTCCGCGCCGCTAGCTGCCGTACAAACTGGAAATCAATATTCCTCCGTTAATTTCTCGAAGATGGAAAAATTGAACAAACGTGCAACTAGGCAGCCCAAATCTCCGGCGTTTGCGCGCACTCGACGGAGCGGAACTTGACCGAAAAATAAATCGAATGCAGGAGTCGACGAGGAGTCCGGAATTCGCGGATTTCGGGGTAGTTTACCCCGACCGAAGGTTTTACCAGGGAGTCCCGAAATTCAAGGTTGGACGGGTCATGGTTAGCTCTCTTCCTCGTCTCAACCTTTTACTCGGCAGCCTGTTGCAGGACTGAAATCGGGATAGCGTAATTTCCGATGAAGGGAATTCCTGGAGGGGGGCGAAGGGGTGAAAAATCCAGGTCGCAGGGGAGGCCCCTGCAGTCGGGTGGATTTACACGGATACGCGGGTACGCGTAGGTTGGCCGCAAACGGAATCGGAACGCGGTCAAGTCGAGTCACTCGGCATTCCAGGACATCCGCAGGAATCTGCCCTAGTACACGCGTCTACGCCCTGCGTTTCCCTTTCCGAGAGCACGTTCTTTCGCGGTATATAGACGGATCTCGCGCCAATTGGGTCACAAAGGCAGTCTCGACATCTCTCGCTCGTCTCGCAATTAAGAACCACTTCACGAGACATTCCTAACTTCTTAATAGGTCCGCATCGAGCGGATTCGAGTGCAGGGCAAACATTTGCCAGGGAAGTTTTGGAAAGTTGCGTGGACCGCCTTCAAAGTTCCCGTGGGACCGAGTCGACAATGCCGTCACGTTAAATATGGCGCCAGTTTGCCGAAATTCCGCGGCTCGCTTCGGACCCCTTTATAGGAAAGTAATTCCCCCGATGCGATGGTATTGTTTAGACGACACTCGTGTATCGTCCGTTCCTCTCCGCGTTCCTCGGTGGCTTCGACTCATCCGACGGTTTCGCTCTACTGACGCCACATTTCACGTTGTCCCACATTCGCCATCTCTCCTTCTGATAAGACAGAACTCGGCAAGATCATAGGAAAACGGCCAATGGCGGAAATATCTCAGGCTCGAGTAGGAATTTGCGAGCAAAGTATTGGTAAATTGCGAATACTTCTGGCACTAGGCTCCGAGGCGATAAGACCGGCACGACATCGGCATCCTGTAATCTGTCCATTGAGTGTACAAATTCATACACGGGTGCTAACGATTTTCAGACTTGCATTCCCACGTCACTCCGTCGAATATCCCGTTCCATTATCCGTCGAACTACACATGTACCGACACTGTGCAGAATGTGCTCTCAACATTCACCAGTGAAGACTTCTGTTCACTCTCTATACATGAAACGAAGAAATGCAACGAAATCTGCACCGCTGGACCAAAATGGATTCTTGACAGTATCTACTTCTGCTTCGCAGCAAGTTTCTCGTCTGACTAGTAAAGTATAAATCTACGCGTCGCATCCTGGTGCATGTGTGTAGATCGATGCAACCTCGGTTTTCCGACCAGGGAATCGAGGAGAGTGCAGTGTTAAGGCTACAGTTCACTAACGACCGAAAATGCAGCCACAGGTGCGACTACGAAGTCATTATGATTCATTGTAAACCACCTATCCCGTTACCACGGCCAGACAGTTACTACTAATAGAAACTGACAATATGCGCACGTGACCAAACTGTCAAAACATCACGTTTCCCTAACATAGGATGCATCCTATCTTTTCCGTATTTCGTCGTGTTCTTCTTAAATACCGAATCGTTGCTACCTGTTCCACGTGCATTTTTCCTCTCACCAATCCAAAATTAACAGCATTCTTGGCCGCAATTGCTGGTCGCGCAACTATGGTCACCACATAAAAAATTGTCGTGACCACCGAGAATCATGATACATTGCGTTCGACCCTCTGTGCGACCACGACCAGACAGTTGCTGCTACTAATGGGAATTAGCGCACGCAACGAAGCTGTCGCGGCAACCAAGAATTTACATAGGCACAAATGGTACAGTGGCGGACATGAGTACCCTCCCGTCACCCCCTCACTGGGCCATATCTTCAGGGAAGGCATTCGTGTCCATCAGCAAACATCACTCACGGACAGTTAAAAAACGCGACAAGTCTTCGTCACCACTTGTGGGTGCAGATGCGTTTGATAATTTCTATCCAATTTTCGCAATGGGTGACTCCAATACTTTTGATACCGAATTTCTCATAACTGAAACCCAAAGCTATCCAGCTATATGGTTTGATATTGTCTAACTTTTCGGTAAAACGGTGAAAATCAGACCTTTTTATCGCGCTTTCCTAACATAGGATGCACCCAATATTTCTTCTTTTTCTTGTTTCGTCGTTTTCTTCTTAAATATCGAATTGCTGCTACCTGTTCCGTGATCACCTTTCTTCCAACCAATCTAAAATTGAAAGTGTTCTTGGCCGCAACGTCTGATCGCGCGACCATAGTCGCCATTTAGAAACATTTCTCGGCCAATGGTCGCAATTTTGGCCACGTTTTTGGTCGCTAGTGATCGGTATCTCTTAGGCGAACGAAGACTCACTTTTCTGCGACCGCAACAGAGCATGGCCTTTGCGGTACAACCGTGTCTTGAGTGAGACACAGTCGTCTCGGAGAGTCTCGGCTGCCGACAGACGTAGCTGAGTCGAGTACCCCCTTCCCCCTGCTGCAGTTGCACCACGCGCACCTGCAGCTGCACCTGATCCCGCTCCGACTGTCCTTGACCTACACCGACTCGACCACCGTACTTGATACGCACGTGTTTTCGCCACTGCATGAGTTCGGTGCGTCATGCCCTCTTCCTGGAATCAACCAAAGAAACGATGATTACAATTTGTCCGATCAGGTCGTAGTGTCGTTCGACATCAGCTAGGACATCCGTTCAACGAGGTTTCGTTAAGGACTTTTAATGAGGTCCCTGCAATTTCTTTGCAGTCGATGATCAGATGATATCCAGGCACGGAGGAGTAATTAATCGTAATTCACTTCTTATTATTTGAATCCATGAAGACATAAATTGAAAGACTTTTTTGTACGAGCTGTAGTAGTGCAGGTATAATATACGTAGCGGAAATTGAGCTGGATTCAAGCTTTTATTAAGGAGGCATTATACCTTTCATTGCTAGTAATGGACCTATTTACAGGCGGTTCTTGATTCGGGTGCTGCACTCGACTCTCGAGTGGTCCAGAAGATGATACTTAAGCCAGACGGCTTGAAATTCTCAGCGACCGATAACGAGTTATAATTACGAACACAGAATACCGCAGGAACTCCTACGTCGAATGAGTTAAGAATATCCAATTAACTCTTTCGCGAACTACGGTAACTTCGACAGTAAGTTAGTAAATTATTACCGCAATCTCTAGATTGACGTAGTTTACTGGAAAACATTACGTCGAAAAATCAGGGGCGTGAGAGAGATATGAATTTCGCTGGGAAAATGCACGGTTAATTTCGACACCCACGCCAGGCGGACTTTTATGTATCATCCAAACATTTTTTTTACCTTCTAAAAAGCATCTCTCGCGCGGATGGCCGTCCGATCCCTGTGTGGCCAGTTTCCACTCGCTTCCGTCATCCTGGTTCCTGAATTTCCGGGTCGCTCCCGCTCGGCTTCCGTCCTGGAAAAATTTCCATAATTTTCATTGATCCGCAGCGACACCAATCGAGAAAAATGGATTCTCTTCGTTATACGGTAAATATCACCCGCGGCCGGATGATGGAGACCATGTCCAACCAGCACCACGCTTTTCCCCGGGGAAAAGTTGACGATACCGAATACTGGAATCAGGTTAACAAACCACCCATTATCCGCCAGCCCTCCTCGAATTATTTTTAAATATCGTTACTCTTTTTCTCAATTGCCTCCACTTTTTCCGTTAACCTCTCAGTATGGTTCACGCTGCTCCCTGAAGAAAGGACTTCGAGGGCCGAAACGCGTCTAGGAAAGCGTTTTCCACAAGTTACCCCCTTTAGGAGAGGCTCCTCTTTTTTCTTTTTCTTTCTTCAGTTATTATAACTTTCTTTTACTAGTTCCTGGGACGCATATAAACTATAATAGCGTCGCCGGTCCCTGAGAGGTTAATGGCAACATGCTTTCAACCTTTCCACCTGGGATGAAAGACGCGACGGAGGGTGCGTGTACGCAGAACCGTGCATACTCGGAAGTGACGCAAAAGGTCTCGAAACGTGGAGATCGCAAAAGCTCTTAGGATACATAAGCATTAACGTCTCCCCCCCTCAAAAAATAGCATCGGTGAAATTTTTTCATCGACAAGGCGCCCAATTACCGTTTTACCAATTAACTTTAAAATATTCAAGCACACTATACGTAAGAGAAAAAAATAAAAGGGCACATCGCGTACGTCCGAAAAAGCATTAAAAAATTATTAATGGCCGATTGCACCAACCGTGATTAGCGTGAACTTTTTACACCATGATTAATTAATCGCGAATTAGTGTAATTCGTGTTGCACCGACGAGAAATTAAAGGAAGATTAAAATTGGGCCATTAACTCCTATCGCGCATTAAGTAATCCCTGATTAAAAATTATAACCCGAATATTGGTGCAGCCGGCTTCCAAGTTTATTTCTATTCTTTGGGCTGCAATTTTTTAAATCTCACGTCATATACCGTTACTTGACGTACGTATCACTGCGCGAGTACTCCCGCACGACTCTCAGAGATGGGCAATTGTGCCGGTAGTTACGAAAGTGACCTAACTAAAAAATCTAAAAACACAAATGAATTTATCCCACACTTTGTTATGCTCATGTAAACTACAACGATACGAAGACAGTTCCGTAAAAAATAAAAAACGACTCAGGGCCGATAGCATCAACACTTGCGTTATTTTTAATTGAATACTACTTAACAGGTGATTAGAGCTAACTACCCGACGCGAGGTGGTTATCCAACAGTGGATTTTAATCTCCGACTCCCCTAACTTTTATCGATCCAACGAATTCCACAGATCCGGAAGTTAAAAAATTTCACGCTGGTGCAGCCAGCCCTTAGGCCACTTTTACAATTGTCGACACAATTATACTCCGATAAATCGAGATAACTTTTGGACAGGGGGTCGAGCAGTGGCACGCGAGCCCACGCGGTCGGCGATTTGAACCGTAAGAGCGAAGCCAAGAGTCCAAGCGGGGGACGCGCACGCGTGTCGACCAATCCCTCTTTGAGCGGCGACGAGGCTCGATCTACGCGTACGCTCCGAGGAGGGTGTCGATATTACCTCGCCGCCACTTCCGCGAACCCCGTCCATCCACCCTCCACCACGACGGGAGACGCGCGATCGTTCCTGGGCGAATGGAACGGAAACCTCGGATACGTTCGAAATAACAAAAAATGTCCGATACGAATTACCAAAGAATTTCCACGATATCCCATTAACTTGACAGTAGTTTCCAGATTCCGGGAGTAATCCGCGGGTGTCGGTACCCTGCCCTCGGCGTAGTCCTCTTCGTGACGAGCCGCGACCTCGGGGTAAACCCGGTATCCCGAGGTGCCCTCGGGGTCGGTTTTTGCGCGGCTGTTGCACCGTTCGAGGCTTACCCAGGTTCGGCTTGGCGCCGGCCAGCTCGCCCTCGGCGCTGCGCGCACTATCCTCGGGTCTCCACCCTCCACTCCCCGGTCAGGGTCCGCTCGGCGCGCGGGGCCGGGAGAAGATCTCTCGCCGGATAAGGTGTACGCGCCGATGTGGCGGTGGGTGGGAGCGCCGACCAGGGCGGCGGGGGGAGAGGGTCGGGACGCGAGAATCGATAAAAGATATATCACTGACCGACAAACGTCAGGGAGGCCCGCTCGTACTACGAACTCGCGGCTCGCGGATGGCGGAAGACGGGCGCGGGGCGCCTCTCGTTAAGCTCGAGACTCGCCGGGCGGGGGTGGCGCCCCCCGCGGAGGAAAGGGTGAAAATCACCGCGGGGATTTTTTACGTCGAGTGCCAGCCGAGCCGGCCGCCTTGGATCGATATACACTTTTCTCGAGAGTACGGCCCCCTCCGCCGCCCCTTGGCGTTCTTCCTCCCGTGGCGGCGGCGGAGAGAAGGCCGGAGGGACGGGGCGGGGCGGGG